CCACCCACAGAAGCCCTGGAGGGGCTATTCCTACTCTGCCTCGCCTTCCTTCCTTCTCCCTCTGATTCCAACAGCCCACTCCCATTCAGGATTTGGAAGAATAAAGGCAGTTTTATTCCAGCCCCCACCCCAACCCGACTGGCAGCTCCTAGCCTGCTGCCTTTGCCCAGACATGGCAGAGGGGCACAGGCAGCTTGGAGATGGTGCTGATTTTCCCTTTGGCAGTAGGAAAGAGGGGGAGGGGAGAGGCTTGCCCCCCACTCCTCCGTCCCCCTACCCTCCCACCCCCATGAGGGGAGAGGGCAGGGATACAAGTCCCAACAAGAGGCAGAAGCAGAACACGACTTCCTCAGCTTGTGGGGTCACAGCATCGAGCCCAGGGGCTGTATGTAAAGCCAATTGTCCCTGCACCCACCTGGCCTGGTCCCCATTTGAGAGTTGCAGCCCTTGGTTCCTGCCCACCAATGCTTTCTAGACTCTTGAGATGAACATTTGCAAGGGTGGGGGAGGTGGGGGGGCAACATATAAGCTCCCCCTCAACTGCAGAGTCTGTTCCTCTTCTTCCTGGGGCTCCTGCCTCCCCCCTCCTTCCCACTCCCACCCATCTATTTGCCTTTGTGTCTCCTCTTTCCTGTTCTGTCCCTTCTCTTCCCCCCTCCTCTTCCCTCAGCTCCCACCTCCTCCAGCTCCCCTCTCCCCCTCTCTCTCCTGCCCCTCCTCCTCTCCCGCGGTGGGGCTGCTTTCTCCCTGACTCAGCAAGGTGCTTTATAAGGTGCTGAGGGGGCTCAGCCAAATCCAAACCACATTGTCTGTGCAGACGCTCACCAGGAGCAGGCTGCAAACCAGGGAGAAGGACCTGAGTGGCTCCCCTCTCCCTCTCCCCTCCCCTTCATGACTCCCTCCCTCTGACACGGTGGCTGCTTGGGGACCTCCTGGCTGGCTTCAGTGCCAGTCACCCACTGGGCATCTGCCTTCTTGACCTTGGCATGGGCATCAAAGATTGTTGGGCTCACTGGCCAAGAATGTCATTGAAACTGCAGCGTTCAGGCTGGGGGGCGGTGAGGGGGAAGAGGGAGGCCCTGAGCACTTTTCAAAAGGGCCCCTCCAAGGCAGGTTTCATCAGAGCTGCTGCGGATGCCCCAGAAAGCCCCCTGCCCCCAACCCCAGGCTAGCTCCCCTTTCCCAGATCATCTTCTCCTTCAGGAAAACAAGAAAGAAAGAAAGGAGAGGGGAAAACTCACAGCAAAGTCTGTCCCACTGCAGTGAGGTAATTGAAAACAAACTTCTCCCCCCCACCCCTCCCACCCCAGTTCTCCAAGTTCAGAAAAAGGAAGAGCTGCCCTGGGAACCCAGCGCCGGTCATGACCATACTGCCTGCTCTGACCTGCAGGCTGGAGGGGCTGGCAGGGCATCCACCTTTCTCTGGGGGCACCAGGGCAGGAGTGGGGGGCGCGGGCTCGGATGCTGTTCCAGAGAGAGGAATCGCTGTCCAGGTCTGGCCCACCATTGCCTCTATGCCTTTGAAACAACAAATAAACAACAACAAAAGCAACTAATTACCAAATGATTTTATTGCTGGTCTGGTTCTAGGGCTCTCAAGCCAGGGAGATCAAATAACTGTCCCCCAAGAAAAGTCATGAAGTGGAGATTTCTGCAGGACCCCAGATGAGAGCTGCTTTCTCTGCACTCTTCCTAGGAGACCCCTACAGAGGGAGGGAGACCCTCCAGGGAGGGTCTAGGGTTACAGGTCCCCTGGGTATCCAAACCCTGCAAGTCCCAACCCAGGCCTGAGGGACAGAAGGAGGGAGAGCACTCCATAGCCAAGTCACCCCTGCCCCACCACCGGAAAAACCAACAACCCCAAACCCCACAGGCAGGAGGAAGCCAAGTGTCTATGGGGAAGCGCTTCACCAATGGGGTCCGTCCATCGCCTTGCATGGAACGCTCTCGCTGAGTCACCCATGAAGCCCTGGTGTCGAAACTGGTCCCGGTGCCTCCTGCTGATTAATGAACTACGAACCCCCACCCGTGGGCACTCTCCTGGCCACTGGGAGAGTGAAGAACCTGGCGGAGTCGAGGGAAAAGCCCTCGCCCAGCGCCCTCTTCTTGCCTCCCAGCCGGGCAGTGGTCCTGGGGTGCCCTCTCCCACCCCCGCAGGGGGCATTGTGAACTGGTTAGTCACCTGCCCCGCCGGGCGCCGCGCTCAGCGTTTGGAAATGGGACAGGCGGCGGGACAATAGCGAGGGGGGCGGTCAGCCCAGACAAAGGGCAGCAGGAAAAACACCATCACTTGCTTGGAGGCCAGCTCGCTGGCATTTGGGAGCATGTGTCATTGCGTTTGCTGGGTGTGTGGGGAGGGGGGCGGTAAGGTTGGAGATGAGAAGGCAGAGGTAGGACGCCGGGACCCACCCCGACGGGCAGCAGCGCCCCCGGCAGACACCGAGGGTGCGAGGAGCCCGCGGCTCCTGCCGAGACCCCGAGGGTGCAGACGGACCGATGCCCTTCCCGCCCCCTCCCCAGCAGGCCCAGGGTGGTACCCCGCAGCCTCGCCTCACCTCACCCCCCCTCGGTGTTGTGGGAGGGAGAGGAGCCCCAGAAGCCCTCCCTTCCCTCCTCCCCCTCC